CCAACATCTCCCCCAGCAGATTCCTGGTTATCCTGGGCCATGAGGAAAGCTGAAGCGCAGCTGGGCACTGAGCTGGGGCCCAGGCATGGTGGCTGGGCAGGGCTGGCTCACCTCATCCCACCCAACCCCATTCCACCCCATCTCCCGGAGACAACCCCGAGGCTCCGGACAGCCAGTGCCCATCACCCCTGACCCGGTGGATTTCCCAGGCTCTGGTTGTCCCCATCCGAGCCTGAGTGTCCCTTGGCCAGTGGGACAGAACACAGGGAAGGGCCATGTCTCGCCGAGGGGACAGCAAAGCACCACAGGGATGGATGGAGCTGGCTGTGAGGGGGACTGAGAGGGGGAAAGACAGCTGGGACACGCCCCTGCCAGGAAAACGCCGCTGGTTCCCTTCCAAAGAGCATGTCCGCCTGCCTGGGAATGAGGAGGGTAAAGGCAGCGGCCCCCCTGCACAGGGACGAGCCATCCCCGTGGGGGAGCAGGCTCAGGGCTCACTCAGCCCTGCCGGGCATGTGGCATGGGTTTTTTTTGGGGACCCGGCACAGCCTGGGGGCTAAGCTGCCCCCCCCCGGCAGCCCCAACTTCAACCACGGCCTCCAGATGCTGGAACGCTTCAAACACCGGCACTTCATTCCCAGGGAGCTGCCGGAGCCCCAGCTGTGTCCTCACCCCCTGCACGTGTGACACCGCACACGGCTCAGCCCCATGGGAAGGGACACGTGGAGCCCAGCTCATCCCTCCGCCAAGACATACTGCACCCAGGCGTCGGAAAAAACGGATTTATTCTCTAAAAAGGCTGCAGGTGACCCTGGTGCAGGGAAGGTCATACCCAGGGCCACCCCCGAGGCATCTCCCCATTGCTGGCGACATTCCCAGGGTGACAGTGCATGGCGGTAACAGTGCATGGCAGTGCCAGGCCGGGGGCTCCCCACCAGCAGGTCTGTGTTTCAAGACACAGATTTTCTCCAAGATTACAAAACCAAACAGCTTTGGGTAAGGGATTAAATACCAGCCTCTGCCAGCACATGGCTCCTCGGCCTGGGGAAGCCCATGGTGTCCCCATGCTGCCAACCACCCTCCAACGCAGTCCCCAGGCCGGGGCAGGTGGGACCCCTGCAGCCTCACAGGGAGGTGTCGAATTGATGAGCCGCCTTTTTAATTACCGATGTGCGAGGCAAAGGAAGGATGGGTGCTGTTGGCGGGCACTGGCCGGGGGGGGGCCCCGGGGCCCGTCCCAGGGCCCTGCTGCGCTGCCCGCCAGTGAGCACTGGGGTGGTCCCTGAGGTGGACGTGGGGTCCCTGCTTCTGCATCTGCGTTTTCCGCTCCTGGCTTTTGTCCTTGAGAGTCCACCCTGGGAATTGGGGCAACTGAGAGGTGCTGGGACAGCTCTTCCAGCTCAGCAGAAGCTCCCATGGGCGGAATAGGTGGAGCAGGTGGTGGGGAGCAATGCCAGGCGAGGGTCCGCTCACCGCTGTTGGCGCTGGGCATCCTGCAGGCGCCGGCTGAGGTCATCTATCCGCACGTTCTTGAGGTGCACCAGCTGCTCCAGCCTCCCCATCTTCAGCTGCAGGATCTGAGCAGAGTCCCCCACAGCCCCTCAGCTCGGTTTTGGGGAGTGGGAGGCACATCCGTCCACCCCAGTCTCCGTGGGGGGCTGGGACCAGCCTGACAGCCAGCGGTGAGGATGGGGGGCATGGGGGGACGGGGAACTCAGGGCCAGGCTGATGTGGCTGCTGGAGTCGCTGAGCAGCATCAGCCAGGCTGGTGAGCACCAGCGCCGGATTTGGGGTCCTGATTCCTGCTCCCACAACCCACATCAAGAAAACACTCCCCCAAAACATGGCCTGGGATTCCCAGCTCTGTGCCAGGACACGGAGACAACTCTTCCCATCTGAGATGCCCCACAGCATTCCTTCCCTTCTTTCAAAGGGAAATGTTTTCCAGCAGAAAACGCTGGAAGGGATGGCTGGAGCCTGGTCTGCAGCTCTGAGACAGTCCCAAGGCCACGGCCGGCCACATGCGGAGGGTCTGTGCAGCTGCGATGCCCCTTTTGCATCACCCTTGTTACTGGAAGACTGACCAGAAAGAACGGGATTCGGGAACATTTGGGAGTCATGGATTGATGTGCCTGACGTGGGTGTGTGCCGCAGAGATGGAGGGCAGGGCCAGGGGGGAAGGATTGGAAGAGAAAGCTCTTCATCCCGGGGGGATCTGCAGGCAGAGGCTTTACAATGGCTTTTACCAGATAAATGGCAGCAAAACCCCTTCTTCTGCAGAAGGGGATGATGGCTGCGGGGGCCGAACTGCATTTCTGGGCCACATTTCTAGCCTGGTCTGACTAGACCTTTTTGGAGCACAGCACTGCCTGGGAGCAGCCAGAGGAGCGCCCGAGCCAGACGTCAGCCAGCTGGACCATGGCAAAGCCACCGCCGGGCTGCCCCGTGCCCGAGGGTGCCACCAGAGCCAGGTACAGAGACAGGGGCAGCCCAGGAGGTTGATGGCACTGTTAGGGCTGTTGTGTACACCACTGTGGCAGGAGGGTTTCAAAGAGGGAGCCGGTCCCTGTCTCAGTGCTGCCACGGGGACAGGGTGGGCTCACCTGGATGGTCTCCTGTGCCAGAAGCAGGGCCTCCTCCCTCTCTGCCAGCTGCTGGCGGATGGCGGCGTCGCCCAGGGGAGGCTGGGCACCGCCATGGTGGCTTTTCATCACCCTGGATCAGAAGAGGAGACACTGGGACAATAACTGACCCCCCCTGCAGTGTTGCTCACAGCCCACGGGGCACGCGCACACACACACACACACACACACAGCTCCTCCGCGTCCTGCTCCGCACACCACTGACCCTGCGGCACAGGGCTCCCCTGACCCCTGCAGGGACCCCCACAGCCCCATCCCTCGAGAAGCCCCCAGGAAGGGCATGTCCCCCGCAGGCACAATCAGCAGCCCTTACTTGGCAGCCCTGGGAGACCTCTGGGCACAGCCTTCTCCAGCACCACTCCTTGTGTTTGAGTAGCCTGGAAAACACAGCAATTAGTGCCTGACCTGCCCCACCTGCTCTTCCCCCCGCCCCACGGGGACACCCTCTGGACAGGCTCGCTATTGTGGGGGCGCAACACAA